GTGTAGTCTGGTCGATGTTTACCAACGTTTCAGAGGTCATACTGCCTCCGTCATCAGGGCGATTGGTTGGTTGGTAAACATCGACCAGACTACACGGCGTAACAACCCAGAAGACAGAAATCTTCATACTCGACGATAATCACAAATCATACTTGATTCTGGTCATTTGGATCGTGATGCCATATGGCGAAGATATCACCTTTATCACCTTGTTCTGTAGTCAGGGAAAATCTGTTCATCTTAGAACCCTTAAATATAAAAGGCGAGTTAGTCAGGGGGGGAGTCAGTCCCAAAATAAAGAATCAACTCCTGTATCAAATCAGTACTCAATTCCACATCATACTAATTTATTAGTTAAAATACACTGAATGTGTATAGTATGATTGTTAAGTGGAATCATATTATGAGGGTTCCAGTTTGGGCATCTTTGGTCTCACCTGAGATCCAGGTACCGTTGAATCCATTTGGAGCAAACCTTCCCTTTATAATGTCATCCAGGGAGAGGCTCGGTTCACCATACAGGGACCCCGCACTCATGATAGCCTCTGCTTGCTTCTCTTTTGCCGATCCTCCAACCAGCAACACTACACCAATGATGATCAGCACCAGGACTATGATCCCGACGGCGATGAACGCTGCCACATTACGCCAGTTATGGTGTCTGCCCTTCGACACCAGTTCCTGCACATTCATAGGTCAAATGTTAAAAGGGAAATTTACAGAGACGGAGTGTCGTCCGTTACCACAACAGTTAGTCAGGCATTACCATACAATTGTAACGAAAATATCTAATCTATATCGATATCGAATAATCGATATCGAATTGATATCAGGTGACCCTTAACATTACTACAGATTTCATCAATGTCGCGATCCTGAGATATGTAACCTCTGCAGTTGAGATAGTGTAGTTAAATAACCTAAGAACGTCACGGTGTAGAAGTCTGTAATCCTCTTTCGGGGGTTTCGTGTATTTTTTCATACTATTCAGATAAATTGTTAGACAGTACTTTCAAACAGACCACCCCTTCTCATCCTGTAATCTCTCTTTAAGTGCAGTGTAACCTACACAGTCAACAAGGTGTCCTTAGATTCTGAAAAAAAGAGGTTTTCGGATCCCAGCACAGTACGTATTAAAAAGGGGCTTAACGCCTTCCAGGATTACTTCATGACCGAGGAACTCTCGACGTCATTGAATTGTATTCTTATTTTTTGGACATGATGTATGTACTTGTACTTGCTCCGTTCATGTCTTGTAAAATGTCTACATGCATCAGAAGAGCGCACGTTTCTTTGGCAATTCTTTGTTCTTAAAACAATAGAACTTCGATATCGTAAATCCATTATGAGACAATGTTAGGTCTTTCTTATTTTCAAATATAGTCTTTACAATTCTTATGCTTTGTTGTTCTACTGTTTCCTTCTCTTTGTCCGTTCAATCTCTTTGTATTCTGAGAGGCCAAAAATTCATTACATGTGCATTGTTTACAGACCCATCTGGTGGTAGTCTTCTTTTGGACTTTGCAAAGAATAACGACGCATAACATACATCAAGGAACATGAACACTGGCAAATAATAGCTCCGTTTGTATTAATTAAAAGCGGTGTTAGAAACATCTTTTACTTCGTTATAAAAGTTACGTAGTATGGCGGTGAAAAAAGCTTATGCCTTTAACAGAGGGAGACTTTTTAGGTTTTCTGAATGCTAAAAAAAGTACTTTCAAAGTGTCTTCTGCTTGTGAATCTGTTGAAATCAGTTAAAATAAATGAACAATTTATTATGTCAGACCAATTAATTTTAAGATTTTAACATAATTGTTACATGAAATACGTTTTCTTGTTATAATAATTACAAATATGATGGCAATGCGAAGTTTTGACGTTCGTTATATCATATAACCATCACGGTACTTTTCTAATTATGTCCTGAAATTAGTAACTAATTCTAATATTTTTCTCTATTTACAGAAGTATTTAAATACAGGTAGGTTCCTAAGTTCTTTTATAACTTACAGCTTTTTTAAGGTTTCTTGCAGGCGTGCAAAAAATAAACCGGAACTCTCAAAACCCAGTGTGAAAATATATTTTATTGATTTCAAGGGCATGATGCCGGAAATTCGAATCAACAAAATGGCTGATTTACAAGAAACCAAATTCTTACTCTTATGTCTATTCGGTTTGACAAATGAGCGTTGTTGGTGTTCATACACCCAAATATAACTGTCTGTCTGTCTGTCTAT